GTGTGTGTGTGTGTGTGTGTGTGTGTGTGTGTGTGTGTGTGTGTGTGCGCGCGCGCGCGTGTGTGCGCGTGCATGTGCTTCCACACCTACAACTTGCTCTTTATGGCTTACAAATTCCATTTCTCTGATCTATGCTGCTGGGCAAACACTGGGGCAAAGCATCTTGGAGTCCTCACAGATGGAGGGCTTCTTCAAGCTCTGGCTGCAGTTGGACCTGCATCCCTTTCATTATGGTCAGATAACATGGCAGTTATGGTTTCTGTGCTCTTGTATGTGTAAGTGAGTTTTTAAAAGGCTCCTTGGAAAAGCAGTCCATAAATAGTTATGACATCCAGAAGGACCCAAACTGAAAAAAATCCACAAGACTAGAGCTTTAGCAAGACATCAAAAATGTTCCATTTGCTTAATAAATTGATTCTGCCCAAAGTCTTCTTTAATTCTTACTGAGATGCAAATATCCAACCTTAATTTGAAGTCAGGATTTTTAAACAAAAAATTTTGCTTACTTTCCTTGCTAAAAATGTTCCTGGCTAGCTCATAAATGCTTATGTGTAATGACAAAACCTTCATTAGATTAAGAATTTTTTATTTGCTTAAAGACCTGGCAGGAAACCTTTTCATATGATCCACTTTGTTACCTCAGAATCTCTAAAGCAATAGTTTACCACTTTTTTTGGGGGGGGGTGGGGGGAGTAGGGTAAAATAAAGAGTATTTCTTAAATTCATCTTACTGTTCTATGTGAAGATTTTGGTGTGCCATTAATAAATGTATCTGATAATAAGAATATACCTTTGCCAAGTCTATATCCCCAAAAGTCTCTTTAGAGTCTTAAGTATACTGATTTCTAAAGGTGCCTTGTAAGTCAGGCACAGCCTTAAAATGGTCTCTAGAAAGGAGACAAGGCACCCAAGGTGAAAAGGGGGAAGCCAATGTCGCAAGGCTGAGAACAGCTCTGCAGGACAAGACATGGCAAAACAGAGAAGGTGTGGTTGCTTGATGGTTTCTGGAGATGCCAAGTAAAGTATGTGCATTTTATGACTCTACTTTTGTTTGCTGTACAGTGTTAAAAGGTATTTTCTACGTCAAGTTTTATAAAAATAAAAAGTCTGTTTTTACTGTGGGTACATGTGTGCATGCACACGTCCGTGTGCATATTCACGTGCAAGTACGTGTTGTTTTGAGCTATGTGCAAGCATACAGCACTCTTCACCGATGTAACACTGTTCCTAAGAGAAACTTTCCAAAGCTAGACTCATGTGCAGAAGAGCATAGCCTTCCTGCTAGTACTGACACTTGACTGTCACTTGACACAAACTCCTGTGGGATGAGGATATTTACAGTTTCTTCCACCCTTCCTTCATTAGAACACCTTTAAAAGCAGACACCTGTTAGGGCCTGATCCTATAACGGGTTTTGGTAGTGTGTCAGAGATGGTGTTCCTCTTAGGACAGTGGGTTCTTCTCCACATTGTCATCTTCAAACTGGTTGTTCTGCCATTTCCATTCACTTCCTCAAAGTCAGGGTCAGTCTGAAAAGTTAGGAAGCATGCTTACTATGGAACAGTTGGCCCTCACTCAGCTGCCTGCTCAGAACATTAACGGAGCCCTCATCAGACTTTATAGACATGTTCTAACCTTTTTACACTAAAGGGAAGTTGAAAGCTGCATGCTGTTAATGACTGCCTATGCTCGGCCTGAACTTTCATGATATTGAAAATAGATTTAATAAGTCATATGTAGTTTGGCTTAAAACAAAATAGAAAAAGAAAATATAACTCAAGAAAGGAGCTACTGTTTTTTGATGGAGTGTTTTTTGTGGTTTTGTGTGTGTTTTGTTTTTTGTGTTTTTGGATGAAATCCAGGATCTCAAACCCAGGGCCAGATACAGGTTCCACACGTTTTACCACTTAGCTACACCTCAAGTGTCTCTGTGTTTTTAAAATAAAGAGTATACGTAAGCCTAGAGAAAGTGCATCTCTTTCTGACTATTTAACCCTTTGTTACAGCTGTGCTTTAGAACACTGCTTTATATATTTAAGAGCTTTCATCATTTCACACACAAATCAGTCCTTTTTTCTTGAAAGAGCATGACAATTACTGTGTCCTCCTTACAACATACTTAAGAGAGAACAGAGACACTGCGCTACTGACGTAGGTATAATGCTAGCCATCAAACCTCACAGACACACAAACACAGTCTGTAAGAGAAATATCAGACAAGATTGCTAAGGCAGTACTTCATTCTCATGTGATATACAGGAACGCACTCATTAAGTACAAAATATTTGACTAGCATTTGTAAATGTTTTGGATAAGAACAAAAACAAAGAGGAAACAAATTTAGAAAATTAATTTTCAACAAGAGTGAATAGTTATAAAACCCCTACAAAGAATCTGGTATTCTGGACAGAAAATATTCATGATAGGACTGGTATTTTTTTTAATACCAGAAACAAGAAAATACACAAAAAAGTCTAAAAGGGCACATGAAAAAAAGATACTGGGGTACCTTAACAGGGCTCCCTCCATTTTAGCATTAAAAGTACAGCACCTTTTAGCACTGAATGAACAAAGACAATTAGAAAAAGTATTTCTCTAATTTACCTCCTATGTAGCTCTACCACACCAGCTCCTACATTGGTAAAGAGGCTTAGGCAGTGACCGTCACAAACTGTATTTACCCCATTAGACAAGGTAAAGCTCTGGTGACTGAAGGGAATTAATGAAGACATTACAAATGAAAAACTCAGGGTTCTACAAATGCTGAAAAATAACTGATTCAGGCAAGGATCATAACTGCGCGCATTAAAAAATCCATTAAGTAAAAGGTTGGTGGGAAACAGAATTGCTTAACATGGTGTCAGAGGACCTTCTCACTGGTCTTTGTTGATGACTGTAAAGTGGAAACTAAGTTTTATATTACAGGGATCTGCCAGCTCAGGACAACCTGAATTTCTATTTCCTAATATGAAATATTCCTAAAGTGAAATATTCCACATCACTCATGAAGTTATTTCTTAGAAAATATTAACAATAAATCTCACAGGTTTTTACTAGAGATACAACAAACACAGGAGCAAGTTAAAGGACAGCAGAGTATTAAGTAGACAAAGGAAGGAAAAGAAAATTAAGGAGTCTTTAAAGATTAAACCATCAACTTATTTTAGAAACACATGGAGACATTAGACATTGTGCTTATCCTTTTTGATTTTTTCATGAAATGCATGCTGAAGAATTTCAGGCATACACATGCATAGAAGTTTGGTAACCTTTAAATAAGACAGAAAAAGAAAAAGGAGACATAAAAAAAATGTACATTATTAAATCCAGGAAGCAAGTAAGCATTTGACCAGAGGCAATGATAGAATCTGTTCTTTAAGGCGTAATTTGCTTAGCACAAGACTTTCAGAAGACTCAGCAATGTTCCCTGAAAACAAAGAGAGGGATTCATCAAACATGCTAACTATATTGGAGTAGATGGCCATGAAAGTAGGATTTCAAAAATACGTCAATAAAAGTTTACTGACTTTGCCAACATTCTTAATCTCTCATCAACCGTGATTCTATTAAACACAAACTTCAATAAACATAGCTCACAGTTATTTGAGGTCATAGGTGCCTGGCACACTATTCAGCTAAAGGTAAATCTCACTAGGACAACCCTGTACATGGTACTTACCTTGAGTCATATGCACAACATATAGTCTGCCGTAAGAACACCATCAGTTATGAAACATAGCCTCTTAAGAATCAGTTATCAAAACAGCAGATGTGTTACAAAAACAAAAGCAATCTGACAACCTGAAACTTAACCACTTCCCTGGCACCTTGAATTGTGCCTGTGTTTGCTCAGTGTCAGTTATCCTGGCCCAAACCACAGGACATGGATTAGAATGACAGATACTCTTATCAATCCCAATATATTATCCTGTGTAAATTCAGCTTTATTTAAACAATTTAAAAATGTGGAAAAATGAAAACAAAACAAAAAAAAAAACCCAAACAACCACCAGATTCATTGATAACCCAGATGAACCCTCAGATTCACTGATAAACCCAATGAACCACCAGATTCATGACCACAGGGTCCAATCCTACATTAACTAGCTGATGGTGTTATCAGTACCTGCTCGTCATTCTGGCTGCATTTCACTGGTGACACTGGCATATGAGGATTAGCTTCGTCATTTACTCCACACTCTGTGCCAGACAGGAAATCCCGTAGTTGAATCTATAGGTGATACATGGTATAATAAAAGTACAGGACACCGAATACTATACTCCATAAAATTCTGCACATCGTCACAGATGTCCCAATGTAAAGCACTGCTGGACATTTGTGGACAGTTATAAATAAGCATACCATTGTTTTCTACATTCTTCTGTATATTCTCACAAATCCTTTTAAACTGAAAGATAATTACCATGGTTAAGAAGGGACATTCTATTTAATCTTTTGATAAATAACAAACATATCTAAATATAATTCAATAAATTATAACTAAGGAATTTTATAATATTTGAGGGTCCAGAATTTTATCAGATTATGTCTATGTATATATCTTTTCTCATCAATATAACCCGGAACTTAGATCATCAGTAGATTATGGTTTCTCTTTAGCTAACAGTACTATTTGTTATAACAAACATTTCATTACACCCTCAGGTCTTTTCCCTTCTAGGGAAACTACTAGCATCTTCATGTCAAGTCCTGTAGCTCTTCCTTTAAGTTCTTTAAATTTACTGTTTGTTAGAATAGTAATTTGTAAGTCAATACACTTGCTATACTGAGAAATCTTCCTCATATTTTTCTGAGTTGTCGTGAAAACAGTTTATTTTTCATAAAAATTAGGAGGAATTACTTAAAAGTATTTGTTTTTATATCATTACATAACAAGTTTCCGCGTTTCTTTATATTTTCATGTTTTATTTGAAAAGTTAATAGACTCATCATTTTTATAACTGGCATTTTTATAACCTATTAGTAATTATAAGAAAAAATGAGCCAACATAGGGGGAAGCTCCTAAGTTACAAATGCTGAAACATCTTATACAGTAAATTCCTACCACACAGAGAACTGGGGTGGATGAAATATTGAACTAACCCAATGGCTGATGCTGCCAGCCTGCATCTATTTGCAGTAGATTTCCTGATTTTTCTGAAGGTTGGTCACCCTCCAAAAAAATGTCTCCAATTCTGACACAAATTGGAAGAAATATTTTCCGCCCAACCTGAAGCTTAAAAATAAACCTCACCTGCCTCTTAGAGCATCTTAGACCTTATGTGCCCTTGGCATCTAGTCAATACTGTTTTTCCAACTCAGTTTTCGGTTTCACCCAGTAACTGCTGATTCCACTCTACCAACACACTTTTAGCTGCCTCTCTGAGAAGAGCCAGCACACATGTCCCTGTGCCTGAAGAAGGGGTGGATTAAAACAGGAGAGAAGGATGGGGTTGAAAGTAAGGGTGTTTACAGTTTCACTATAAAAGAACAAACTTTTTTTTTTGGATAAAGTGGGTGGTACAAACATTTATAAGAGTAATGCCAGTTTATGTTTAGTGGCCATGTGTCCAAAAAAACAAATGTCTATGCCCTGTGTGGACCTCGGAGGTGGCATCTGGCTGATCTTCAGTGTTAACCCGGATCACTGGTTTCTTCTCGGTTTCAACAGTGAGCTGGTGCTGCGTGGCTTCCTCGAGGTTCTGGAGAAGGCGACTTTCCCACTGCCTCACCCGCTCCATGGCAGCTGCCAGCTTCTTAGGGTCTCGCTTCCTCCTGCGAGTTTTGTAGAGAATCTTGGGTAACGGCGAGTTTTGAGGCATGGCTGCGAGACTCTGTCGCTTCTGCGGTGGTCGTTGGACCATTGAGGCTAATGCAGAGGTACCTTCCCCAGGAGCTGAGAGGTCCTGGCAGGGCCTTAATTCCCCACAGGGCTGCTTGGAAGCCCTGGAAATGAGCTTCCTTTTCCTAGAGACAGCTGTGGTGCTGACCTCTGTTGTATGGACAGGGATATCCTGGGAAAGGCGTGAAGACATTAGTCCACCTTCCACACTCGGTTCACAAACGTTCAGGGTGTCTCCTACAGGTTTCTGGCTACAGCTAAGAGTAGCTTCCTCAGGAGTCCTGTCTTGTGTGAATTTTTTAAAGCGTGGCTTCATCAGGAAAAACGAGTTCTCCAGAGATCAACGTAGGAACCTGCGCCCCTGTACCCTCCTACAGTCGGACCGTTGGAGCACGTGCTCTAACATCCCTACGTCATCACACAGCATCCCCAGCAGGTGCATCTTCTTTGTTAGGTAAGATCCAACGAGTCTTGTGCTTAGGTTTTATTGGTGAATTTCTGTAAGCACTTGATATTTCTGTGTATTCTAGGTGTTATTCTCTTCTCTAACAGCTCTCTGTTGTTGAGAACGCATGGCCAGCTGACTCATCCTTGTCTGGCTGACGTGTTCCCAGTCTGTCTCTCTGTCTCTCTGTGTCTCTCTGTGTCTCTCTGTCTCTCTGTCTCTGTCTCTCTCTCTCTCTCTCTTTCCCCCTCTCCCCCTCTCCCCCTCTCCCCTCCCCTCTCCCTCTCCCTCTCCCTCTCCCTCTCCCTCTCCCTCTCCCTCTCTGAAATGATGGTTTCTACAAGTAATAAAAGATAACACGGTCTTTGTGCTACTATGCACAGCCTTAGAAGAAAGCAACAAGACTGTCGGACACCTGCCGAAGTCAAGGAAGTCTCTGTGTTCTCCCAAGCCTTACCAACAGGAAGTAATAGGACTAATCCTTGGCTAGAGAGACAGAGAACCCTGCTACCCCACAGACATCTGTTGATCTAACCCAGAGGGTCCTTAGATCTGTGCCTAAGTTCTTCAGAGAACTACATTTCTGCTGGCCATAGGTCTCTGATGTTGCAGTCCAGATACTTAGAGTTCTTTTCATGTGAAATTCAACTCTGCCCCAAATCTCTCTCCCTAATATTCCAGTTAGAATCCAAAGTCTTGTATGCTCCCAGATGGAGAATTATAAACTAGGGAGTAAAGGTTCAACTTACCATGTTTCCAGAACTACCTCATCTTTATCTTAATTCCCAATAATCTCTGCATTATCCAAACTATAACATATAAGAAACAGAGCAACTTTATTAAGGCCATGAATTCAAAAGCATAAGAATCAGAACAACTGGGAGTACTGTGATATGTAACTTTAAGGACACAGCTCAAATTAATTAGGGTTACATTTAATGTGCTCTTGAAAAACCAACCCAGAGATATGTTTTGCTATACAATTGTGTTGTTGGTGAAAATTTCCTTTTAGAAAATACCTGATATTTATCAAAGACCAAGCTGTTAGAATTTGAGAGTTTTCTTCATGAACTGTCATCTTTGCAGTTTCAGTTTAATTTCTGGAGTTCTGCAGAGATGCTGACATTTGCAGACAATCTTCCACACGGACAACCTGAAAAGCAGCCTTTACATGTCCCATTGGCTCAGTGAGGAAATGTGTTAGAGAAAGCATCCCCCTAAACAGGAAACACACAGGACGAAAACACTGTGCCCAAGATTTCAGGCATCTTCTCTTTTTTCTTCCTGTAACTCAGTGCTTACCTATGATTAACTTTGTACATGAACTTTGGAGGGCTAGTCAAAAATCAGCCCTATAGGCAAGAAAAAACAAAACACAAAACCCTTCTTTCAAGGTGTTGCAGGTGGACAAGCGAAGACCATATGTGAATGAGTGCTTGAAGAAGTTATAGCAGGGTCTGCATGCTGCACCAATGAGATAAAGACAGCAAGCTGCGCTGACTCCATTCTCCCTTCCCGACTGACTAACAGAGTGCTTGCCTCCACCCTGGCACATTACTACTCTATATAAAGACTACGTTCTCCATATGCCCTTTTTCTCCGGTCATTCTCCGGTCCTACTGTCTCTCACAATGAGTACTACTATCCTGTGCTACCTTTGACCATTTAAGTAAGAATCACGTGGTCTTCTACAGGGAGTAAAATAGCTTCTACTTTCTTAAAACACATTTTTACACCAGAGATTTCTATTATAATGAACTTATGCTATCACTAATTACCATATAAGGGCTTAGTATCTCACAAAATATAGTAAATAATTCCTAATTCCAAATATAATTATTCAGCCATTACCAACATTTACTTATTTCTTTATTAGCACACAGAAAGTAATAAAGTATTTTCAACACTCAAAAAATAAAACTTACACATACACAAATAGATTTTAAACAGTTTATCAATTCTAGTATAAACAAATCTAAGGAATGCTACAGCTTTTAAGTTTTTTTCTATTAAATTAAACGTTTATACAGTGAGGTCTATTGTCTCAGCTACTACATCGCTATGTTCTCTGATGGTAACATAGGACATGTCTACCTAAGAAGCTATGAAACCGTGTAAACCAACTGTAACAACTGTTCATACAACATACACCTAATAAACATGAACATTCAACAAAAAGGAGAAAAGCTGTAGACATGTAATCTTTGTTCTAATTCAAAAGACATCTGACATTTGGAAATTATTTCTTTGCCAAATTTTTATCTATTAAGAAAAATGATCTTATATCAAATAACAATGTCACAAGCCCATCAAAAATATTTCTTTCGAGTAAAAACTAGGCTTTGGGTAACTAAATTTTCCATTTTTTAACATGATTTAAAAAGCAAAAATTTATCAACTTTTTGTCTTTTTTTCTTTACTACTAAAAACAAAAGCATATTCTCTGCCTCCCACCATACTTTTGACACTAGTAACTCTATCTGTAGTTTAAAATAAAAGTATCTTAGCTCAACTTTAATATGATTAAAGTAGAATTAATTTTAGAATACTTACAGAGGATATCGTGTTATTCTCACAATTAGAAGTCAAGATGCTACATTTTTTATAAACATCAATCAGATCTAGTGTATTACTATTCTTCAAGAAATTATCATATGTTTTCTTAATGTCTTCATAGTGGTCAACAACTTTCATGTTTTCAATGGGCAAGTTCAGTTTCTCGTGTAAGAAGTACTTCCATGTCAGTAAGACATCACTGAGACAGACTGTAAATTCTCCATTGTACTGAAAGTTACAAACAAAGGACAGGGGTAAAGTTGAGTGCTTAATGTTTGAATGTCCATTTATCTCATTGATATGAGAGATATAAATAGCATGCTGGTAAACACAAAAACTTTGATAATTTGATAAAATATAAATAAGTAAGCATGTTTGCAGATAAAGAAATTGGTAAATGGGGTTGGGCATGATGGAGTGCACCTTTAATCCCAATACTTGGGAGGCAGAGGCAGGATGCATGCAAAATATACTGTACTCAGCTACAGGGTTTTTTACTCTCTTAACATTCCCATAGCCATGAGGAATTCCCACATAACAGAATATATTCCAAGTACTGGCTTTAAAATCCAGTCTTAGTATTCAGGTTATTGATACTAGGACTTGATTTCCATTTTGTTACTACTACAGAGAAAGAAAAGTATCACTGCAAAACTAGGAGCCTAGAAAGATTTCTGTTTCTTCCCTGGTCCTATATACACTAAACTATAATGAAGAAGTGCTAAAAATCAAGTTTCACTCTTTTCTGTGAGTACTCAGATGCTACTAAACAGACAAATTTACTCTTCTACTTCTTGGCTTCTGTTTTTCCTGAAAGAACCCAAAAGATTGTGATCTCTACACTAGTATGTAATTGATAAGAGATCCAGTACCATTACCGACAGGATTTCATCTCAGTATAAAAGCTTTCCTTAAAGTATCTCCCTGGATAGCCACATGATAAATTTTCAGCAGACACACTAAAGGCTTGCTTTTTATTCAATGCATTCTTTTCCCATATTAATATGTAAGATATTAAATAATGGTGACTTCCAAAAAGCACCAGCCTTAACTCATTAAAAAATTCTAACTTCTCATTTTCAATTCAGCATGGAAAACAAATATATTTTAGTATCCATATGTGGGTCTGTGAAATGGAATATATGCTGCCTTCCACCATTTTAAGTTTTTTCCAGTTTCTGCTAATACTAAGACTTTTACAAGTCCCATTTAAAGATGAATAGGTAATTATGTAGTTAAAAACTGTTATTCGTTGAAAATGAAATCTTAATCAAGAATATAAAAAAACAATGCATCCAAAACAGACATTTGAATTATTAAAAATTTCTATCTTTATATCTTTTATGATAATAAGTCATATATGATATTTGAAATCCAGACTTTAAAACAGCTTTAAGGGACTCTTCCTCCACCAGAAGACACTCCAGCATCCAGATCCCCAGATAAACCCCCAATCTACAGACTACGAACACCCCCCCCAGCATCCACCCGGCTACCTCCAACAGCCCCTCCTCTCCTCATCACCATATCCCAGCCCACACCGCCAGTGGAAGCCCCCTGCTCCACTAGAGGCCACACCAGCACCCAGAACTCCAGCCTCCAACTCAGGCAAAGACCCTCTATTCAACTACAGGCCACTCCAGCCAGAAGATCAGAGAGGAAACAGAAACAAAAAAAGAAAGAAAAGAAAAGGAAAGGAAAGGGAAAGGGAAAGGGAAAGGGAAAGGGAAAGGGAAAAAAAGGGAAAAAAGGGAAAAAAGGGAAAAAGGGAAAAAGGGAAAAAGGGAAAAAGGGAAAAAGG